CAAAAGATATTTTTTTCAATTAATTATTTAAAATGCCTACATGCAGTGTTAAATATTTTAAAATATGTTTAAACAGTCATCTAGATCTCAAATGTTTGAGCCCTTGAAGAAATATGTGATATTTTTTGGTTGGCAGCAAAATTGGTCTGTAGAAATTCGAATTATTTATGTGCAGAAGAAATAATTTGATGGAAAATTAGACAGTTTAGTAACACGATTATATATCGTCATAGTCGTAGAATACTGACGGTATTCTACGACTATGACGATATTTAGTGTTTGAAATATTTATGTTTAAAAAAGGAGGAGATTCAAAACTAGATTGTATTTTTTGTATTTACGTTATAAAATATTAATAGTTATGCAGTACATGATTAGGTAATATAAACAAGTCTATGTATTTAAAATAATTTAATATTTCAAATATAAAAACAGCAAAATAGGAATAAATTTAATGACAATAAATAAATAAATTAAAAATAACTCTCTAAATCACACAAAAGTATAATTAAGAAATTCTATCTTTCTGAAATCTCTTGAACACACAAAATACCTACAAACTATTCTTACGACATTCGTGGCATATTCTAAGAAAAATATTTTTTGTTACTATGTATCGATGCGGAACCCTTATAAAGCAGCCAATTTCGCTTGCGATAGTAAAATGACGCCATATATCCTGTAGCCCATTTGCCATCCTAATAAACCCAACTTGAGTACAGTTTGCTTAACAAGATACTTTAGGGCACTCAATTGCGAATAACACTTTGTATTTCGTGGACTTTTCAGAAATACGAGGATTGACGTAACAATGTTCGAGTATTTGTGGAAACTGCGATTTTTGAACTATCATTGTTATGGAATAATAATAAACTGGGTTAACTGAATTTCACCAACCCTGGAATTTAATTATGTTTATCATTATTATGTTGAGACGTATGAAATGTATGCAGATATTCAAAATATGGTGTAATAAATTATAAACTAAACTAGTTGAGTTAATATCAATTCATTTTTATTTAGTATATTACTAATGTCAATATTTATTTTTTTAGGTTGTAATGCTTACGTTACTTTATATAGATATTTATTATTATTATGTCAGCCGTTGTCTATTGCTGAACATAGGCCTCTCACATAAAGAAGGCTTTGCCAGTAGTTGGCAGTCGAGTAGGAAAATGGAGTTAGGATTTAATGATGTTTTAAGAGGGACGCTGCTGCCTATCCCTCAGCCATTAAGTTCCCTTAGCCGCCTCTTACAATATTCACGGGAAAGGAAGGAAAACCCATTATATGTCGAGCCTCACACGTGTCACGTATTGAGCAATTATAAACAAGTAGATTTGGTTCTTGAAAAAAATACTAACTTTAATCATGGCAAAACTAGTGATTTTGATTTTAAAAATCAAACTTCTGAACTGATTTTGATAAAATTTCTATACATACAAGCTGACGGCCCACTTGATGGAATGTGGTAACCGTTGCCTATAGACATAAGCAGTACCATGGACATAACAGAGTATACTGTTTCGCCCATGATACTCCCCATGCGTTGCCATTCCTGAGGACTCAGGTGCTATTACTCTGTACCCAGTAAATTCACTGCCATATCCCACTCTTCAAACCACAGTTATGCAAACACAACTTCTTCACGGTAGAAACACGAATGGAACAAAGGTGCCCAAGCAAACGATTTTTGTACAAAGTCTCCTTCTAGTGAGTTATATTTTTAGTCATACTAGATTTTACCTGTGATTTCGTCATTATTGGAATCGATTGATTAAGATTAAATGCAGTCAATGTCCTTCTCCATTTTTTATATCAAAAAGGTGGCAAACAAGACTATCCGATGGTTATTGTTACCTATAGACGCCTGCAACACTAGGGCTGGCACGTGTGCGTTACCGACCCTTAATAAACCATTTTTTAAAAATTCCATACTGTAGTCTCAAGGGAAAACTCATTCCATAGCCTGAGCATTCGCCGAAGAAAAATTTCTTTGAATTCATACTGTACATGACCATTTCGGTTCAAGCGTGTTAGGATAAATTCCCTGTCGATGGTGATAAAGAAAAATACTTATAATACTAAAAAGAATAGCGTATAGCTATCGAATACTTTCTGTCTATCTACGTACTATCCCGTTCATTTTCACCTCGTATATATGGTAGGAGGAGTGAGCTCCCTTCTTCAGTTTTACCCTTTACAATATAATACTCGTATAATATAATGGGACATTTTATTAAACATGCCTATAAACATTTAAAACGCCGGCAACATACGAGAGAACACCTTTCGTATTGCAGGTATTCATGGGCGATAGTGGCTACCTTCTTATGATGACTACCTTTATGGGCACTTTCTATCAGTGTGGTAGTATAGCTCGTTTGGCTCCCAAACAAAAAGAATACCAACTGGTGAGTACCGCTATTTTATTTTAAACTTATTTGTATTTTTTTTTTTGACGAACTCTCCACAATTAAGTACTTTTTTTATCGCGATAGTTCTTGGCGGCTAGCGAGAAGAAAAATATAAAGCTACGCCAGTATGTCTCAAGATAAAGTAGGAGTAAAGCGCCTTAAATCTTATCTAATTCTTTTAGATATTATATCCACCGTGTGTACCTTTGTTTTTCATATAAAAGTTAAATAAATAAATAATTTGTATATTTATAAGTTATGTCACCTTTTCATTCATTAATTATTAGTTTGAATATTACAATAGCTATCCGTGCCAAATTCAACAAATGGTTGGAAATTTAAGCTTAATTGGTTTAATCGATGTATTCCTATGAATTTAGTTAAATCCGATTCAGGGCAGTTCCCTTTGATAGCTGAATACAGTAATTTTGTCCCTCAAACAACGTTTTAGAATAGTTAAGTTGGTAGACGATACTGTTTCAAACACTTCCAGATGTTTAGCTAATTGTTAGAGGCATCAGGAACTTGGATTGTATTCAGATATGGTTTGTAGAGACTAGCTGGAATTAATTTTGTTAGAAAGTTTGTTTGTAGGTATCTACTCGTACCAACAGTGATTGCTAGCGGGCGGAATTCAATATTCAAGTTGTTTTGTCTATAATCGATACTTGCAAATCTTTATATATATATCAAATATAAAAAATAGGATAAAAATAATATACCTATTGATAAATAGATGATTTACCAGAGAAAGACTTAGTAAAAAATTGGTATCATTCTACATTTTTCTATCTCGCCTGTGTTTTTGCTGTGAAGCATCTGTGTTTGTGTGGCTGTATTCATTCGAGGGATAGAATATACCAGTTGGATTTCAGAGTACAGAAGCATAGGACCATAGTCTTTAAGAATGGAAACCCATGAAAGGCGGCGTGTATATTACGGTGTATTCTGTAGCATTCATATTTATTGGCGACGGTTACCACTTTCGATCAGGTGAGCCGTCACCTTCTTTGACATTCTAAGTAACAATTATATATTAGTTGCTAAATAAAAGGAAATTACGAAATACCTACTAGGTATATCACTCTAGAACTTGTGAGGAAATTGACACCAAACTAGATAAATAATAAATCTTAGGATTTACCAACCGAGTTGGGAAAAGACTTGGCGCTGATTTATAATTATTTTCGAAATCCATACAATTAATTGGTATGTGATTAATAAATTCAAACTCGTATTATCAAGACTCCTCATGTATCCGTACTTTTTTTTTAATATTATCTTTGTACAGATATCATCTAATTATAATTTTATTATATGTATATAGATGAAGACTAATCAATTTATAAAGGAATATCCACCACCATGAATAAGCAATACAAATTCGTCAAAACATCTTGTCAGGAACTTCAGACTTTGTTTATGTCCCCACAAAGTATTTTAACTATTATTCTAATGGAAATAGATCTATTTTACATTGTTGAAAGTTATATTTGAATTTTCCATTGTAGTGTCGCAACTTGGCTGTTACTTTAAAATGATCAATTCTCAGAAAGGGTCGTCTCGTTGATTATTCTATGCTTGTAATTTACAGTAAGATGATGTTTCATATTGTTCGTATTGATTCAGTCTATTCAATGATAGGTGTTCGATTTGTAATGGTATTAGTAAATAATTATAAGTATATATCATATAATATTTATATATTTATGTGATATATACTACTATAAATATTTTTATGTATACTTTAATAATAATAATAAACTCTGAATGTGCATATACAAAAGGCGGCCTTATCGCTTAAAGCAATCTCTTACAGACAACCTGGATTATGGATATCATGGACTTCATTATGAATTATTAGCATGTTTTATTAACATGAATGTTTTTTTTTATTCGATAAATTTACTACGCCAAATAGCCACTGCCTTCTTTCTTTTCTCCTTTACCTTTAAATAAATAAGGAAGATAATTTTGAATTATATTCATACGAAATATGCCATGGATTACAACTACTTTAAAATATCTATGTTCACATATATACATATTACTACAATATTAGTTTCTATTTGGAAATTTGTCCATGCTTATCTCCAATCTGAACTTAAGTAACAATGTTTATAAGTTTTTTTCTTATACAACTTAGAATGGCAAACAAGCTGACGGCCCACTTGATAGAAATTGATAACCGTTGCCTATAGACATGAGCAGTATCATGAACATAACAGAGTATACTGTTAACCGCCCATGATACCCCCATGCATTGCCATTCTTGAGGACTCAGGTGTTATTCCTCTGTACCCTGCAAATTTACTGCCATATCCCACCCTTCAAACCGAAACACAGCCATGCAAACACAACTGCTTCATGGTAGAAACACGAACTGGATAGAGGTACCCAAGCAAATGAATTTTATACAAAGTCTCGCTCTAGTAGTGATACTTTAGAAGCGATCAACTGGGTATAATAAAACTATCGACTTTTCTGTAACAAGTAAAGTTGTTAGCAAGAAGAAGCCATACAAACACTAAGGTTTCCGTATTACCTACTCTATTCAGTATAATACTTTTGACAATACCGTAAACACGCAATTCAACTGCAAAATATTTTTATCCAGTGAAAAATAAGGTGTTTATTTCAAATCTAAGATCATAAAATCTAACTATAGAATCGTTTATCTTTTTTAAGTACATCTAATAAATATTTTAATACTTAGTAGGTAGCCAACTTTTTTTATATAATACTGGATAATCAACCCAATGGTTTAAAATGTAAAGTGTGAATTATATAAAAAATAATTAAAAGAACATTACAAGTAAAAATTAAAAAGTTTTTCGAGGATAGAGCAATTAAAATGAAAAGTGTTTTATGAAGTAATTTAGAATAAAATCTTTTGATCTATTATTTTTTTAATCTTTCAGTCTTTTAATAATAAAGAAATAATTGGTAATCCCTACGATTTGATATTTATTGTGACAATTTTTTTTCTTAAATAATATAATTATTTGAAAACAATAAATCTTCAAAATGCGTTTTGTTTTCGCTAAAATAATATTCTTAAAAGTGAAATATATAATTTTTACAATTTTAATAGTGTCCGTGTTTGTGTTCTACGTAACCTTTAAAGAGTCTTTTATGCTGAATCGTGTAACAACAAGAACGATTGATATATCCTCTGTAACTTTACCAAATGTTGTTGTTCATTTGGATTTCAAAGGATCCCCACTGAAGTTGGAGTATTTGGAATCGCTATTTCCTTTAATGAAATCCCATGGTGTTAATGGACTGCTATTAGAATATGAAGATATGTTCCCGTATGAAGGAAATTTGACCAACATAAGCGCAAAGAACTGTTACAAAAAACACGAGGTAATTTATGCTTTAATGAAACAGCGATTGAGACTAAAATAATACATAAATTATTGAATAGTTTAAGATTTTATTTCACAACAAATAAAAGTGACTAGTTGCTCAGAATTGGCGAAGATATTGCCTAACGTGGGAATATATGAAAAATGACATATATGCAAATTAAACTTTACTTATTGAAATTACTAAAGAAATTGAGGGATTGTTTATCTAATTATATGTATATATGTTTACTTGATACTCAAACTTACTCATGCAGAATATAGTACACAATGAAATGGATTTAATTTTAGTCATCAAATACATCACAAATTAGCTTAAAACAAAAAATAAAAACTAATACAACATCACTTGAACCTAAATTAAATAAAAAAAAAAACATTTATATATGCAATAATGTTGATATTAGTAACATATTGCATTAATATAATAAAACATTTTTAATGTGATAAAAAATATTTTCAGGTTAAAAAATTTATCACCAATGCATATAATTTTGGCTTTGAAATAATACCTCTAATTCAGACATTTGGCCATTTGGAATACGTATTAAAATTGGCCCAATTCAAGCACTTACGAGAGGTTCAAACGCATCCAGACTCTATCTGCCCAAATAAAGCAGAAAGTTTTACTTTGATTGAACATATGATACGACAAGTAAGTCATTAGATGAAATAAACTATCAGGTAAAACCCTCCCTTGGAGGGTTTTGCTAGTAGTTGCCACGCTTGGCAACCGTAGTTAAGCTTTGGAGATGTTTTAAGATGGACACTGGGCAGCAGCGCTTGCCCTCCGTTAGTCGCCTCTTACGACACTCACGGAAAAGGAAAAAGTGGCTTATTCTATGCCGGGACCACACGGCCGTATCAATATGAACCGAAAAATGCAATAAACTTTTTATTTAGCCCAAGTGAGTGAGACTTTTTAAAGAAGAAGTCTGTTAACGAGACGCTATGAATAGCCTAACACTGGCTAATAGCCTAAATTAAAAAAAAATATTAACTTTTTTTCTATTTTTTATTTTTCTCATCTTTTCCACATATATTGTTATTAAATTTTTCTTGGAAGTAGTAGGCAGGGGAAATATAGGTTGGGGCAGGAAGTCTTTCATCTTTCATATTTAGCTCATACTAATATTGTTGCTAAGACAACATGTTAATGTTTGACTTATACTAATAAATCATATTCTGTTATATTAAAAATTCTATCAATTATTTCAGGTAATAGAATTTCATACCAGCGTCGTACCTTTGAAGTACATTCATATTGGCTGTGATGAAGTTTATCATATAAATGAATGTCAACAATGTTTGAAACGTCATTTATCAAAGATGTAAGTAAAATATTATAAGTATAATTTAGCATAATTAGAACACTATAGTTTTAAAATTATATTATTTTTTTATTTCCCATATTGTTCTGTTTATTATATTTATTACTACGAATATTTCGTAGCTTCTCTTTTTATTCTCTAAGTATTATTACTAACTCTTCGGATCATATGTTTTAATAAAATTTATTTATACTTTTGCACGCACAAAAATATGTCTACAGGGCGGAATTAAACAGAGAAAGTAAATGGCGGTGCATTGATCTAACAAAAACAATTTGTTAATAAAATAAATATTTTGATAAATAAAAACATTAATAAACATTTTACGATAAATGAACATACAAATATATAGAATAATATACTTACAAAAATTATACATACATAAGTCACATATAATACAATAGAAATAAATAACTAAACATAATACGTATTAATAAAGTAAATATATAAGTCGTGGCTAGTTATATAATAGTATAGATTGAAGCTCTTTTCTTGACTAAGATAATAAAAAATTGAGAGAAGAATCAATCTTCTTATATTTTTTATTCATATTTTATAAAATTATTGTAAATATTTTCTTTTTTTATTTATATGATAACTTTTTCTAATATTTTAGATGTTTTATATCGGTCTTTTAATCGTCATTATATTATACATTTTACAGAGACCTTTTCGTTCATCACGTCAAAACGATATCAAATATTGTCAGTAGTTTCTCAAAAGAAACGACCGTTCTTATATGGGACGATATGCTTCGTCAGATAACACTAAAAGAATGGTATAGCATTGACTTTCAGTCACTCAACGACATAGAAATCGTATATTGGGATTATGAGCCTCAAGTCAAAGTATCACACATAAATCTTATGAAATATCACAAAAAGTTCTCAAATATATGGATTGCATCAGCATTTAAAGGAGCTGATGGAAGAACGGCCATTATTCCTAATGAAAAAAAGAGATTTTCCAACCATTTCAGTTGGTTTAATTTGATTTTGGATTATAAATTTGGCGGTGAGAGTAATGTTTACAATTTTAAAGGGATCATACTAACTGGATGGTCAAGATACAGTCATATGGATCCTCCTTGTGAACTTCTACCACCATCTATACCCAGTCTAATAATAAATTTAATATTTATTAAAAAAATTCAAGAAGGAATCAGTTATGATAGCGCCAATCATAATATGGATGTCATTTACAAGAATTACTTAAGTACAGATATCAAACAAAGTTTGTTATGTAATCGAGTACCTTTATTTGGACAAAATAATATAGAATGGTCATCTTGTCTTTTTAATGGTGTAGAACTGTACAGTTCACTAAAAAAATATATTTCTGTAAGCACTGCTATAAGTAATGAATTGAATAACAATTTCTTTTTCATAAAATATTATTCAAAATTAAAAACTATAAACATGAATACTGTATCTGATAATATTGTTTGGTGTAATGATTCATTTTACCAGTTACTCGTTGTTGAAAATAAAGTTAGTAATATTTTGGAAGAATACTATAAAAAAGAATTTATTGTGGAATACGTAACTTATTTAACATTCGATTTGAAAAAGAAACTGCACAATTTGATGATGATTTTGAATGATTATAAGAAGCCCCGTATTTGGGAAAGAGGACCCATCGCTTACAATAATAATAATATATAGTATAAACAACTTTGTGTACAAAAAATATAAATATTGACATGCCTTAAAGGATGCATGCAGCACCAAGAGCACTACATATACTTTGCCTTATTGCGCACTTTTTGTAAAACCCATTCTGTAGTCTCTAGGGAAATTATTGGTGTTTTTACTCAACTGCTCTATATTGCCCATAAAAAGAAGTGCATCGCCTTGAGTGAATATAGAAATTCGACATGCTTGAACATTAAAAACAAGTAAGTAGGTACATAAATAATATCTATGTATCGTAAATTATACTGTGTAGTAATTATTAATGTACTACTTGCGATATGACAGTGAGCCGCGCTTATAAATAAGGGCTCCAGTTCAGTTCGAAACTACTTGTAGTCGGACATTCCCGAATTTAAAACACGAGTAAAGACAACATAAATAATTACAATAAGTATATAAAATTTACTTTTCTTTGCAAAAGAAAAAACACTTCTATCATGACAAAAAGACCGTGCGGTCCCGGCATAGAATAGGCCGCTCCTTCTTACCCCGTGGGTGTCATAAAAGGCGATTAAGGGAGGGCGAGGGATGGACAGCAGCATCCCTCTTAGAATATCTCCAAAGCCTAACTGTAGTTGCCAATCCGCCTGCCAAGCGTGGCAACTACTAGCAAGATTCCCTGTGGAAGCTTATGTTCAGCAGTGAACAATTAAAGGTATGATGATGATATGATGATGATCGTGACAATGCTGATTATCACACTTTTCTTATTTTAAAGTAAATAAATGCACAGATGGATGAAAAAATGTGTTATAGATAATTGAGACATATTAAACATTTTAATGTTTAAATTTATATTGCGAAATTGTAAGACAGTAAGTAGATTTTGTTTCTTAATAAACTGTAAAAAAACAGCCGCTTCAATTACCTACAGCAATATTAAATTGAGACCAACACGACACAAATATTATTAAAGAATTATCACAAGAAAATTTAAGAATTTATTCCACAAAAAAATAGCTGCCAATTTAAAAGTATATCCTTATAGATACAAGAAAAAGATTTTTTCAAATCGGTTTATAACTGACAGAGTTCTGAAGTTACGGAAGTAATCAAAAATATAACCGAATTAGAACCTTCTTCATTTTAACCGACTTCATAGGAGATTCTTAATTTAGTTGTATTTTTTTTAATATTTTTTACCATATAACTCTATTAGTTCTAAACCGATTTGGAAAATTCCTTTTTTATCCTAAAGGATGTACTTACAGATTAAACCAGTCATAAATAGTTCAGCTTTTAGATAAAAATAACTGGTTTTATCACATTTGAAGTCGGTTTGAATCTTTAATTATTTATATAAATTATACAAAAAATAAAAACACGCAAATCGACAAACACCTCTTTTTTGTCATTAAACACTAAATAAGTATAAAAAGACCAAATATTCATCGAAGTTTAAATACCAATCGGCATTCTCGACGAAGCGCTAAGGAAAGCGGCCAACAAACATCGACCGCTGGATTAGAGAGTAATTAAATTCCTGCTAAGCTTTTGAGAACCGGCAGACGTCGTTTCCATTACCGACAACAATGGGTTAAAAAAATATTATTACCGAATGTTCGTTCAGTCGGCGGATGAAACAGAACAGATGAAAAGGTTTTCTTATCTGTTTTTTGCATTATTATTTTGTAATTTTCTGCTATTAAATGGATTCCATAATGTACGAATATTTCGATTCATATTTCCGTACGCTGTTAACAAAACAGCGTTATTTCATACTTTCAATTATTTTTCCATAAGACAGATTATATAGATTTACCTATATCTATGTCATAACGAATAAAGTGTCTCCCTGGGAATGAAAAGCAACGGATATTTTTGTTTCAATTGATGAAAATTTTAAAATTATACTCCTTTTATACTTGGTGACCTTTACTATGACCGTGTGGTCTCCGCACAAGAACAGGTCACCCGTTCCTTTCCCGTGGGTGTCGTCGTAAGCAACTAAGGAAGGGCGAGGGATGGACAGCAGCGTCCCTCTTAAAACATTTCTAAAGACTCACTGCGGTTGTCAATCCACTTACCAAGTGTAGCAACTACTGGCGTTTTGCCATTAAGGGGAAGGCAGTTAAAAGCTAATATGATGATGATGATTATCTTTACTATATTACTAGCTTTTACCCACAACTTTGTCCGCGTAATCGGGATATGTTTACTGATCGGTATAGAAAACATGCTATATCCTTCTTCATTTCCCATTTTAGGTGTATACCAAATTGCATAATAATTAAATAATCAGTTAAGGCATTATAAACGATAAACAAACCTCCATTCTCCTTAATAAGTTTTTATTTGTTTATATTTACATTTAACTGGCCGTTTTTTGACTTATTTTTTCTTTTATTTAAGGCTCTGTCTAGATATATATGATCCAGCCTACCTACATCTATGGTATATACCATAGATATATCTATGGTATATAATTATACGTCATCATCTTGATTTAAAAAAACACAGTTTTTGGTTCCCTCACATACTCAAAAACTACATTTATACCGCCTATACTGCCTACACTATACCGCATATACCGCCATAGCACTTTTCATCACATGAGCATTTAGATTGTTTGTCATACCAAGGTATATATAAAACAAATATAAAAAAAAATTATAGCCTATACACTCCTACAATTAAGGTGACGGTAATGAGCCCCTTTATTAATTTTTTATTAAAATCTATGAGTTACACTTGGAAGCTGAAATATTTCTTGGAAATGATTTGCAACCCTTTATCTAGGGGACGAGTAGGGATTGTTAGTAATGGAGATTAGCAATACCATTGCTAGCAATATACACTATCAGGTTGATGTCCACGCGGTACTCTCTGAAAACCATCCTGATTGATTTATTGTGGAATACGTCACGATGGGCTAACTAACCTGCTTCATTATCATTTATCATCCCTCACTGGTACTTCGCTAGTGTATACTGGTAGCGCAGGCAGGGTAACCATTTCATTATCATCCATAAAAAAACCCTTCAGCTAGGGGTAAAAGGGATTGTTAGTAACAGGGTCTAACTTCCTCATTACTAACAATATACCCTATCAAGTCGACCTCCACGCGGTTCCCCCTGGAAACTGTCGTTGTTAATTCTTGTAAATTCATCACGATGGGCTAACAGACTTGCTTTCATCATCACCTATCACCCCTCACTGGTGCCCCGGCAGTGTATGCCGATAGGGTAGGCGAGGTTTCCGTTTCATTATCACCCATTAATATACCCTATATCCAGATAAGTATAAGTATAAGATGATTGAATAACCCTTGTTTTAAAAACACCAAATTTGCGTAACAAAAATGGATATGTACATACCTATACATACATGTATGTATTGCATAACGTTATCGCACGAATCGGATATCGTGTGACAGCAGCACAAAGCAACCATTTGTAACATAAAAACCCATAGTAGCCCTTAATAATTAATCATTTCAGAGCGCTCAAATAAAACACAATTCCGTCCGTTCTATAGTCGCTAATTAATTCCCATATTGTAAAGACTTGAATTTTCTTTTTCGTTTTAACGAAATGACATTTTATGGCCACCACATTTAAATTTTATTATGTTTATATTACCCATAGGTTTACCTCGACTAATTCGACGATAAATAGATACGAGTAAATGTAATTATTATGATCCAACCTGCTGGTTCAAGTAAACCTTAAAATCGTAATCTCTTTTAGACAACTATGCAAATAAAATGTACCTTAGATTATCGACTATGGTGTAGTATTTGCTTTAATAAATACTACTTTTTATGACAACTATACATAATAGCTATTTTCGCGTGATAACTAGCTAACATATGGGCGGAAATTCTATGAATCGTCCAATTGAATACTCATACTTACTATATGCTTTAGATAGGTTTTATATCTTTACTTCATGACGAATCACTTACAAGGATGACAGTGTCAACTGAGTACCAAAGCCCTCGCATTATTATTACATCTCTTACTTGAGTCATTATGGAAGTGAATACCATTTTCCTACAGATAGATTTCAATTGAAGATTTTTAATAGTAATTTATATAAAAATTTAAAACTATTGTAAATATAATAATAAATATCTTTATTTACACACACATCAACAATTTTTAAATAACAATTATGTATAAAATTATTTAAAAAATCTAATAAAACTTATCGATTACGATTCACACTTACAGAAATTTCAGACCTCTTTGCAAAAAGCGAGCATTTAGAATAAATAATTAAAAGTGCATTAAAATAAATATTATTTCACTAATGTTAAAATGTCCTCAGTTTAGATTTTACTTTATAGTAATTATATATTATTATTAGACTTCTAAATTCTATTAAACATTTCAGTACATGCACAGTTTTAGTCAAATCTCAAGCTATTACGACAAAAGTGCCCATTTTTGCAAAGAAGTGTATTACAATAATCTTAATCTTAATAAATAAATCTGATAACTTTTTATATTACAATTTAAATTTATATTCTCGTAAAATATGTCAAACTAATTTTAAATATTTTTTAATAAAATCTACTTTTAAGAACATATTTATATTTATACCTACAAAAAATAATTAATTTTATTTTGATTGACGTTATTTTGAAACATTTATTGTATTTTTTTTATTGACTTGTAAAAAATTTCATATTCTATTTTTATCTCGTAAGTTGTATTTCATAGGATGATTTGTATATTTTAATTTATATTGCTTTTGTGCATGTTTTTTTATGTACTTACTTATTAAATAATAAATCTATAATAATTAATAATTCTTTTAAATACTATGACTAGAACAAATAAGTCATATTTCGCAACAATACTAGAGTAAGTAAATTAATACAAAATCTCTAGGCACCCCACAGTTAGTAATTATATCACTTATAACACTGAAGTTATATTTAGTAAGAACGCCTACATCGATTACATGAATCTTATCTATTTTTTTGTTCATTTTCTTCTTTACTTTTGCTTTCTTGTGGTGGTAATTCATTCCTTGGTTTATGAACTGGAACGATCTCCAATGGAACAGGAGTGGTAGTTACAAGACTACCGTCTTCATCAGAAACCTGCAAACCTATTGTAGCGCCAAGCTTGGCACTGGCATGTTTAAATGTATTAGTTAATTTCACTTGTACAACATTAATACACATGGAAGTGAATGCTAAACCGAAGATCAGATACAGTATGGAAGACATCATAAATATAGGGTGATCGGGAACCACATCTCCGAGGCCTATTGTTGACATAGAAATGAAGACAAAGTAGAACGATTTGAAGAAGTCCCAATCTTCCCACATGCTGTAACAGACAGCGCCAATAAAAATATATATGATAAGAATGAAGACAGCTACTGTAACTGGTAGGTTGAATTCATCGTCTATTTCAAAAACAGATGGCGCTGGTGTTCCGAGGTCTGTCTCAACATCGATATCTTGAACTGTACCAGGTTTGGGAGGCAAAGGTGGTGGTATATCACTTGGTTTCCTTTCTACTGTAGGTGCTTGTGTATCTTTTCCTTCGTGGTCGCCATTAGGATGATCACGAATCTCATCTTCGTTGAAGATCTGCGAAGGTCGTCTTACAACCTCGTAGACGATATTCAGACCTTTCATAACCTCCTGCAATCGTAAAAAATATCATTGGATTAACAAATATGTATTGAAAACAAAAGGATCACAGAAGTACAAACACACACCTCCGGGCGTAATCATTACACGCCGCAAAATAAAACCAAACTCATTGTTTTCTTTATACATATTAATATTTTCAGAGCAACGTTGTGTAGAAAAATTCCTTGATAAATAAGTACTTTGTTGATTGTGGAGCAAGATTAATAAAAGCTGGGAGTAAATAAATGTTAACAGAAAAAAGACGAATGTTGAAATACGGTCCCTTGTGATTTTTGCGAGTGTGTGGTCTGGCAAATTACTAACAAAAGAAAATACTGCAAAGAAAGTAATAAATGAGTATACAGTCATCAATCGTGTACTGTCTAAGACAAGTGAAACGTAAGACGAGTTATGAAATTCTTCCTTTAGTGAACTCTTCCTTCCTTACACTGAAAATTATTAAAGAAAACTTTGTACAGAATCATTTGCACGGCTGCCTCTGTTTCCAAGCAGGATATTCCGTTGCCAAACAACTTGCTTGCATGTTGTCGTTAAGTTTAAAGATTTTAATAGCAGTAAGATTACCGCAGAGATATTACGATACAATGTCTTTATGACAGAAGGGTGAATAAAAATGCATAAACGATATTTTTGATGTTAAGTTTTAGATTTTTGCGCTGCATGTTTTATGGTTTATAAGAGACGGGAATTAACGCGAACGTTTACATAAACTAGGGTCTTATATTTTTGAGATATTTATATGACGGGAAACCAAATTATTATAATCCTACTAATATAATAAAGTTGTAATTAGACAATGTCTCGTTAGCGATAAGGCTACCCATTGTTTTCTCAATGTGAACATTTCTTGTAATTGTTTGTTTTTATAATAAATTTACTTCCATGTTATCTTTTGTAGAAAATAATAAAGAGTATCTATCTCTTAGTAGATATTTAATAAAAAATTATGTAAGGGGCTTCAATAAGACCAATACATGCCAAAACAATATTTTATATAAATTTTGTCTTTTGTTCGTATATTTGTTCCAGCATCACGCAAAAACTATTGCACCAAATTGGATGAGGTTTACTGTTTTACTGTTGTGTTTTTCAAAATTGATGTATATTTTATATTAATACATCATCTACAAGTTATTTATTTTATTAGTTTCCGATTTCTGAAATCTACATGTACGAAGTAGATTAGCTAGTTCATTATCGTTATCATATCAGCCCTTATCTGTCTACAATTGAACATAGGACTCTCCTATAAGGGATGTTTTGCCAGTAGATAGCATGCTTAGCAGAAGGATTGGCAACTGGAGTTAGAATTTTTATGATAATTAAAGAGGGACGCTGCTGCCCATCCCTCGACTATTAAATTACTTAGTTGCCTATTACGGCACTCACGGGAAAGGAAGAGGTCAATTATTAGTGCAATTGAAAAATGGTAATCCTTTAATTGATTGCATGAGAAAAAACTAGTGAATATAACCTTTAAAAATGCCTTAAAAGGCGAAATCAGTTAGATATTTATTAATACATTTTTGTGGAAGTATACAAATGTTTTTAACAATACATCATCATCATATCAGCCATTATCCGTCCACTGCTGGACAAAAGCGTCGCTGGACAAAAGTAAAGAAGGGTCCTGAGTCCCTGCTCCTTTTAACAATACAAATATACATAATTATCTGTCACATCTATCTCCCATTAGGATAGATAGAAACAATGGAACGTCGAATGCTTTGACTCAGAGAAGCTAAACCCATTTTTAATAATATATATAATAAAAATGTCAATATGTGTACAAAATTCTAAAGTACCGACAATCATGACTATTAATATACGAAAAATATTATAATTATTTTGACTACACCCGGATAATTAAATAAACAACAAATACATATAATAAATTCATAACATTCCCATCGTTCAATTGTATATAACTATGTAATAAATGAACATAACATAACATTTGAAGCTAATCATTAATTGTACCTAATTTTGATTACTATACTTTTTTATAAATATAATAGAATATTCTGTAATACTTGTCTCTGTATACGCCATAAGAGAGTACGGATGAAATTAAATAAATTGAATGTCTTTTTGCCTTTATTTTCACGAACGGTGATCTCCTTTATAGCCTCTCTTAAGGATGAATAGGAAAACATTAGGTAGATCAAGTTTAACGCGTCACGTAGTCCTAAAATATATTATTATAAGACACCTTTACAAGTATGTAGGACAACAGAAACTTTAGTAATAACTAGTTATTGGAACACTAAAAATATGAATTTTAATTTACATACAATTATATATAAATAACTATTTTTTTTTATTAATTTTTTATGCAATTTAGAATGGCAAACAAGCTGACGGCCCACCTGGTAAGTAGTAACTGTCGCCTATAAAAATGAGCAGTACCATGGACACAACAGAGTAATATACTGTTTTGCCCATGATACACCCCCCCCCCTCCTTGCGTTGCCATTCCTCGGGTGTTATTCCTCTATACCCTGTAAATTCACTGCCATATCCCCCCCCCCCCTTCAAATCGAAACACAGCCATGCAAACACAACTGCTTTACGGTAGAAACACGAATGGGACAGAGGTACCCAAAACGACTTTTGTACAAAGTCTCCCTCTGGTAAATATGTCTAATAATTCTGTTTGTATTATGATTTCTCGCTGGAACTTCATTATATTAATTATATAATTTTAATAAAAACACCTGAAAATGTAATTTTGAAACCGATGCTGTGTATAAAAATAAAAACCTTTTGCAATAAACACAATGGGAAAGAATTACAAGTATTTAAATAAGATTTATATCATATAATATTTCTTTTCACTTAAGAGTTTCCTCTTATCGGTGCAACTAATTTATGCATCTACTTCCAGCCAGCTCTATCCCAGGCCATATCTTTGGCCTCTCTATATGAAATTTTTTTTATACAACTTAGAATGGCAAACAAGCTGACGGCTCACCTGATGGAAAGTGGTAACCGTCACCTATAGACATGAGCAGTACCATGGACACAACAGAGTAACAGAGTATACTGTTTTGCCCATGATACCCCCCATGCGTTGCCATTCCTGAGGACTCAGATGTTATTCCTCTGTACCCTGGACATTCACGCCATATCCCACCAAACAAACCGAAACACAGCCATGCAAACACAACTGCTTTACGGTTGAAACACGAATGGTACAGAAGTACACAAACAAACGACTTTTGTACAATGACATTACATTTGTATCATATAACCGAAAATTGTGAAAGTTTGTATAAAATGTTTGTTATTCAATCACGCCTATAAGAGTGATCGGATTTCAGTTAAATGTGTTCTACAGATTTTATATTATTATTGTTTAAATAATACAAAGGACTTTTAAACTTTTTTATGATACTTAGAATACCAAACAAGCTTACAGTCGACTTAATAAAAGTAATTGTGGCCTGTAAACATAACCAGCACCATGGAAATCGTAAAATACAGTAAGTATGTGACACGAAATTCCCCTTATGTAATTATTATTTAATAAACGAAAATGAAATAGTAACTCTGCCCGTGCTATCGATACGGACACCAGTAAGGAATGAAAACAAGTTAGTTAGCCCATCGTGACGAATTTATCAGTTAACTATAATAGTTTCTAGAGAGAACCGCGTGCAGGTTATATTGCAGCAATGAGGCTGACTCTGTTACTAACAATCCCTTTCCCCCGGAACTGTGGCATTATGTTTCCGTACCCTGTAACTTCATTGCTATAAACTACTCTTCAAACCTACAACCATGCAAGCATAGCTGCTTTACAGCAGAAATGTAGGTATGATAGAGGTACTCACGGAAACGACATTAGTATTTTTCCCTTTGGTAAACCTAATTCTCCTAACTCACATAGATAAAGTCTACAAAATAATTAAAGATGCAAACCTGCACAGGCGCAGTCCTCCTAACCTTCCTGCAACTTCTCGTGTAATAGAATCTCCTTATAAACGCCCAGAAGAACTTGATAATTCTTGTGAATAATTTACCGAAGTCAGCTAAAACTATCAGGAACAAAGGGATCCCGATAATTGCGTACACTATGGTGGCTGCTTGCCCATACCTAGTCTTTGGAGCTATGTGACCATAACCTGTAATAGTGTAATTAATTTTAAAGATTAACAATACAGAAAAAGAACAAAAATTAATTATATTGATTTAGAACATCTAGGGGTACGGGTACTTGTACCTAAAAAATAAACAGTAAAGGAAATAACAAAATAAAACCAACCAAATATATTTTGGTTATGTTTAATCATGATAACTACTTATATATTTATTATGATTTATAAATTTAAATTACTTTTACAAAATAATATTAATATTATTATTAAAATATATTTTTACTTTAAATAAATCCTAAATAAATATTTTTATATGAATATATTCTACGATAGGTTCTTTTTGTTTTTTCATCATCTAAAATTATCAAGAAATTAAAGTAGTGTCTAACTTTTTATATTTGCTGGTATCATATATTGTAACTACTCGTTTTTTATAGGTAAGTCCAATAATCTATCTTTTTTATAGCAGCCAAATTGATAATAATAATATTGTATCAAACATTACAGCAAACAAATTTTAATATTTTTATTGTTCTTAATACAAAAACATTAAGTTTAAAAAGTTCTCGAAACGATTGTTTTTTTTACAATAAATCCGTTAATTAATAATAACTCCTGCTTTAGAACCAATATATTTAAAAGTATAATTGCATAATATATTTATTTATAAACAAATCGTACTAAACAGGCAATTTCAAGTCAATATAATTTTCTATTTTTTTACCAAAACTTAGGGAGAGAATTCTATTTAGCATTAAATTTAGGTTTTAAACTTTGTACTGTCAGAAAGTGGTAAGTTATTATAAATAAATAACACATTCAATAATAAAACATATCATCTTGTAATTATTTATATTTATAATAAGTTTACTATTGTAATCTTTTGGAGGAAGCAATAAAGAGTATCTATCTATCTATAGACTCTGTTATTTTAAGAATTAGAATTAATTAATTATAATTAGATTTATTCATTAGAATTTCATCGTAATTCATAATAATGTATTAAAATATGGAAAATATGTACTATTATGAAAAAATATCAAACTGCAATCTTACCAATAGTTGTTATTAATGTCAAACAATAAACAAAGGAATTCATAAAGTTCCAGGATTTTTGCCCACTATAAGATGTAACTCCAGCTTCATGCGCCGTGTGCAGTTGATTTTCAAATTCGTACAGTTTTTTTCTAGCCATCGATTTCCAATCTTCTTCTCTCAAGTAGTGACTACCTCTCCATAAATTTTCTATGAAATCACGCTTTACACCTCTGGTTCCACATTTGTATGCATTTTCAAAAGATCCTTCTAAAGCTCTAAACATCATACCACCCAAACCACACATTATTATTAACAGCAGTAAGTCAGAAATACATCTATTTCGTAATAATTTTATCTTAGTATAGTCTGCCGCATATTCTTGTTTAAATTGTTGCCAATTACGTATGATTTTCCATTTAAATTGTACTTCTTTTTTATTCTCGTCAGTTTTTGATTTGATACTATTTTGTACTTCTGGTGCAATCGGTTCTTTCTTGATAATAGCTTTATTATCTGTCAAAGACCTTTTCCTTAACGTTGATTTTTGATTATCCATTTTTATCTGATCAGAAATTTCTAATTCATTATCTATCAATGATTTTTTTCTTGTTATAGGTTTCTGTATAAGTTGAGGTTCTGTTTTTACCTGATCAAAGTTGTCATTAGCTAAAAGTATATTACTCAAAGTATTACGATCATCTACTTCTTGACTCAAAATATTTAGTTTGCGAGTTAACTCAGCCGTTTTTTCTGATAAGTCAAAATCAAACTCATTTTCACTAGGAGATGTAGAATAGCAACTAGAAGTATATTCAGATTGACTGGCATCAATATAACCTGAGCTTCGTCTACTACGTTTTTCATGTTCTATATTTATTCTCTGATTCGTTGTCAGGCCGGATAATATTTCTTTATCACTAATTATTTGAATAGTTTTTGGACATGAAATACCCCTCGATTGTCTTGGTGTTGAGGGAGTCTTTGTAGGGGTTTGTAAATTTTTTTTATAGTCTTTATATTCAGATGGAAGTCTTGGGTCATCTTTTGGAATCGACAAACTTCGTGCTCTAGCTATCTGCATGAGTTCGATAATCTCCCGACTAGTTTGACTCATACCTATACCAGATTTATCTACTACTTGAATTGATTCAATTCTATTAGCAGACTGAGATCTCTTGGCTCTTGGAGATCTATTTTTCATGAAACGACGTGGTGTAGGTACTATTTTACGTTTTGATTCTGGTGCATTAGATTTTTGTTGCTTCGCTTGATCTTCACTCATCTCACTCTCACTAGTTTTACTCTGTAAATATCATTATGGATAAAATATTAGTTTCTCTTCTTAAACTATCAGAAAATAATATACTAATAACATGGTGATCAGTCATTGTGATGATTTATGTCAGTTGAAAATATAATGCTATTAACAAAGCAACAAATAATATCAAAAATAATTTTATATAAAAACTGACCCCAAATCTTGTAGCAGATTTACTCCGCGCTGGTTTTACAGGAGGCACTTTACTTTGTTGATCTTCTTTTGGTTTGGAAACTTGTTGTCGAACAATAACTGGTTTTACATCACTTGACATTTTTCTACTTGGAGTCCTAACAATTCTTTCCCTTACTTCAACTACTGGTTTTTTATCTGCTGTTGTTTTCTTGCTTGGAGTTCTTTCTACTTGTATAACTTTAGTTACTATTTCTCCTGGAGTAATAGGAGTTTCCGGTGTTTTTGGAGTAGTTATCTTTGCATTTGTTTTAATATCTTTATCATCAAATGTAAATACTTCTTCGTTCTTGACCGGCGTTTTTAATTTTCTGTGTTTATCATCCGGTTTCTTTTCGTCGGGATACACAATTTCTTCCAACTTTTTAGGTGTAGTTGGGTATATAAAATCGCTCTCTTTAGATGTTGTGTTAGTTGAAATAGGTGGTGATAATGAAGATCTCCTTTCTATTGGCATTTCCATGGTTAAAGAATTACGACGACTTTTATCCTCATCTTTAAGATTTAAAGTATAATTAGTACTGAGTAATTTATTAGTTGGGTCTATGAAACTACCCTTGCGCTCTAATTTAGTATCTTCTTCAATTTTATCTGGCAAAGCAAAAGGTGAGATACTCCGACGTCTTCTTTCATTAGCAGCAATAGCTCTTGCTTCAAGAACTTCATCTGTATCTAAATCGTAAACAGGATCTTTAACACTTGCTTTTTCTTGGACTAATCGTTTCATTTCTTCATAAGTATTATCAGCTTCTATTTCTCTGGAATTACGTTGTGGTAGATTATCTTCGTCATCAGAGGTAGTTGTATCTTCATGAATTGGAGTTCTTCCGGGTTCAGGTGTTTTTTCCCTTTGTCTTGCGGCTTGAGTTCGATTTTTGGATAAATTTCTTCGTTTTCTAATAGACATATTTTGTTTTTGTTCACTTTCCATTTCTATTTCGGTAGTTTTACTGTTACTAGGAGATTTAGACACTAATTGACCACTTGTTTGGGTTTCGGATTCGGCTTTTATAATAGGGATTGTCAGGGTAATATTTTCTTCATTCTTCTCCTCATTCATTACTATTACGTCCCTCCCAATCAACAGCCACTGAAAAAAAACGTTAATCAGATAACAATGAATTAACAGTACTGCCATATAATATAATAACAAAGAACAATTAAATTTGGCAGTACATAATATATTTTCTGCCAATTGTTTCTGAGACAGCAATACACATCTGAGCCAGGTAGAACTATTAGCAAATAAATAAATTAAACTCACCGTTCTCTATCGCAGTCGATACCAAACTTCTTTATCGTATCGGGGTCAAATCAGATGTCTAAGAAAAGAATCTATTTCGGACGCTCCTTAGCAATGAACGTAAACACAGGGTGTCCAAAGTCACTTTCATTTTCGTCACTTCGTTGTCACATACAGTCGTAAGATGCTTTTTTAAATATAAGTTTACTCTCACAAGTTTTGTTATTATAACAAAAGTGCGTGTCGCGCAATTTCAAAGACTCCTTATGGTTGAGTCTTGTGACTGAGAGAAAAGCATTGAGCTCCGGGCACAGATCCAAATTTAAAACATCCACACCTACATTCACTTTGGTTGGTATGTGTGCATCGCGTCGATAATAAGTCGACACCAAAATAACAGGACCCGCCGCGTACATCGAGCGCTTCCAAAACATAAATACGAAATAGAAAAGTAGATGGGTCAATGTTAATCGGACCTAAAATAAAGAATCGTATCATTTATATACATATATATTTGTTTATCAAGTCTTGTTCGTCGATTTATTTAGTATTGACTATATTAAGATTAACTATTTGTAATAAGATCGCGGGGTTGTAAACTAACTTCGAAAAATTGGTTCTCTTGTTCTCAATTCGACTATGTTTCTTTCCTATTATGAATAGTTTAAACTAAACTTGACAAGAATTTCTTCTTGTCCACTGAATTTAAAATTATTAATATAAATAGAATGTTTTATAAGTGAAACTAACCATTTTTTCCAAAGAAACGCGAATTGAAAAACAACAATTAATTTTAAGCCTCCTATTAGATTTTGTTAAGTTCTCACCTCGCGATATATCCATCATTCAAAGCTTTAGTTTTAGAAAAATATAGTTAAATTGTTTTTGAAAATTAACAAAGAATTGGGACATTACCACACTTCGATGTTGAAATTCGTACATCTATACTACTCGTAACACGTAAAGTGGAAGAGTTTATTAAACGCCGTAATCTCTGGAACTACCAGGCGGATTTGAAAAATTCTTTATGCAATTGATAGCTGTCTTTTTAAGAATCATTATAGACTATTTAACATCACGATACGATCATGGGCGAAGCCGCAGGTTACTATAATACTAAAGAAACTATTCACTAAAATAAATTAGAACAATTACTGTTTAAACGCTAAAGATTAAATGAATCAATTGTGTTATAAAAACTTAGATATATAGATAAAACAAGAGTAAATTTGTGTAGGTATATTGTACTATAAATAACCATCTAGAACTTTATATTGAGTAACTACGGAATAACTAATTAAGTACCTACCTAAAACCTAAATAAGATAAAGTGTTAACGAGAGTATCTATCTAATTAAAACTTTCAAAGGAACGTGGGTTTAAAATATACATAGGTATTTTAACTTTAATAGATAACATTTGCATCCATAATACTTAATTGAAACAATTAAGTAAGTGCTTACTTATTTAAATTAAAACAAATTTAGTTAAACACTCTTACGGAATAGCAGTAAAAATAATCCACACCAAAATAAAGACTTTAATTACGAATGGCTTTATTACATCGCAACCAACAAAAGGATTGTCCTGGTTGTTACCTTTAGAAAGGAAAATAAACAAATATATTGTTTCGTATAAAGCTTTGAAAGTGTTAACGAATGCAGTTCCAGGCAAACGATTCAGATTCCAGCGCATTTGAAAGCTTTTTGTTTCGCGTGTTTTGTTCGTTATTATGGAAGTGAAAATGCCTGACGGAAGTTTGAAGATAATACGTGTATTCTACAGCATTGCTCATAGTAATAGGACAGGCGCTATTGCAAATTCAATGTAAATAATAGGTTTACCTGAATTTACATTTAAAAATCTGTAGTTATTTTTTCTAATAGATATTAATTTTTAATAAGAACTTTTTTTTTTATTTATGTATTGTATTATTAATAACGATAATAAAATGTATGGATAATATAGGTTACGATTTGTGTAACTGGAAACTAGTTATCTATGAGAAAGAAGGGAAAGACATTTTTTTTATTTTATTTTTTTTTTTATTTTTAAGGGCTTTTACCTCCTTTAGATATATCAGCCCTGAACCGATTTCTCATATAATTTTTATCTTCTTTCCCTATTCTCGGAAAGAGAGGAATTAATAAGTATCAGCAATTTACAGAGATGGTCAATTTGTTGGCTATTAAAAATAATTCATTTTAAAATAGATGACATGAATAGAAGAAGAAAATATGTTGCATTTTTGGATTTTCACTATTATATAAATAGACGGAGGTAATATATACAAACTAATAACTAAAAGTTATAGTACCCGGGAGTAGAGGCTGAAGACCGTGCGAAATGGAGAAATATCATAAAAGAGGCAACAGACACCTTTTAAGGACACGACCTTATTTATTTATTTTTATTTATTTACACTTTACTAATGAAGTGGACGAAGAGAGAGATATTAATCGAGTGCAAGTATAGGTTATGTTAATATGCACATCGCACCTCTTAATAATACCTCCATCCATTCATAGTATAGCGAAAATCAGAAAATGCGATATAACACCTTCATTCATTCATGTTTTCAATTAAAAGCTTTTATTTTGGCACATAATAAAATGCTCTTCAGTATTTTTACGTTCTACGCTTCGGATATTTAATACCTACCTAATTTTAGAACTGTTGTGTTTTATTACAGATAACTGAATTCTATTGAATAATACTTTATAATTATTTCTCATACTGTCTAATAGTTTATAGTACCGATGTTATTAACTAATTTTCTTTCCAGAAATTACCACACAACAGAAGCCCGACAGTCAATGGCAAAGTTCTTAAATACCCTTACATAATATAATACTTTTTAATGCTCCCTAGTAGCATGGGATGTTTGTCTGGAAAAAGACGTCATCATTAAGTCATTTGAGAAACGCGACCTTAAAATGACTTAAAAATTACGTCTTGTTAGAGTCACAGGCATCACATTGGGTGGTTAAGCGATTTATAATATCCATCTAATAAGAGAAATAAACCACATATACGATTTACTTTGATAAATAATTGGTAAGAGTAGATACACCTGAATAAAAAAAACCAATGTGGCCGAAGTAGTAATTTAAACAGACTCAAAAATATTCTAATAATAATTTTAGAACCGGTAGTAGGCTTGTGCTGTATAGCATGTTTCATTAAAATATGCTCAGCAAATTTGGACTATTTATTCTTACCACAGCAAGATTACGCTACTTGAGTTTACAATTGTATTTTTGACTAATTAATATCGTAATCGTTTGTAAATAAGTTTGGATACATAAATCACACTGAATGGATTCAAATGGAATTTGAATCCCACACATGGATCATGCTTAAAATAAATATACTGCAAGGATACATCTAGTCTAACTGCAAATTACAACTAGCACGATGAGGTTGTTGACTTTATTGTCATTTTCTATCAGGAAAATAGAAAGTAAGCATACTAATACTAGTAGTCGTGTGGGGGTGTCGTCTCCAGGTATCAAGAGTTTCCAGGCCTCCTTCGTTATAGACGGAGGTCTTTGTTGTGATTTACCAGACGAAAGCTTCACTTGCTCTCCAAAACAGGGAGCAAGTTGCCATCATTTTTAATAAATTCAAACATCACTTTAATAATTCAGAGGTTAATTTGGGATGTGACCTTAGGATCCTTGGACTATTTTGTGTTAAGAAGAGAAAAGAAGAGAGAAAATTTATACGAACCTATAGTTGTGTAAATTGTTCCAGCATAAAACATAGAATTCCAGAAGGTCCAAGTCTTATTTTTGGAGTGGGACTTCAACTCCGTATAATTCTCTTCGTACTCTATCAAGTCTTCTTCGATGATTTCGATGATGTGATGATAATTGTCCTTCTATAGAACAAAAGTATAATATTATTATTTACTAAATTGGTATAAAAAATATGTAACAGCGAAAATACTATACTGTGTCAACGTTTCGTGTCAAATCGAAGTGGCTCCAAGAATTCTAGCAGCGTTTCGTCGCAATTGCAATAACAATTCGTATTATTATTGTAATTGCTGGTTTGTTTCTAACCAGCCAGTTTTTTTGTCGCCAATTTTGACGTAGATTTATAATATTATTTCCATTTACGGCAGGTAATATATCTTTCCTAAGGTTTTAAAATTTCTCATACTGTCTAATATTCTTAAATATCTATTCATTAAAATCAGTTCGAAAACACGTATTCCTTTCTCAACAACAACAACGATATGGAAATTAAGAAAAGTGTATTTTTAACCAACTTCAAAAAAGAAAGATGTTCGGTTGTGTTTATTTATCTTTGTTACTACAAAAGTCCTTTATTTATAAACCCATTTTTTATCTGATAATCTTTTAGATTAGACCCTTAAAAATTTTATCCAAATTGGTTCAGTAATGTAATTTTTAAATCAATTATTATACTCCTAATATCTGTATACTGAGAGGAAAGGGATTATTAACAGTAATAAAGATCTAACAGTTCCATTACTAGCAATATACGCTATCAGATCGACCTCCACACGGTTCCCTCTGAAAACCATCTTTGTTTATTATTTATGAATCCATCACTGTAAACCAATTGACCTGCTCACTTTGCCTATCATGTCTCACTGGTGCCACGCCAGCGTATATCAGTACAACAGGTGGGAATCACCCATCAAACAAAATATGTATACACTTATTGTATTTATCTCTCAGTAAAATTATAATTGCCTACCTTTTGTATGTAATTTCATCCACATTCCGTTTTGTTTTAATCTAATTTCTAATTTATTATTGTATATTTTATTTTTATTTTAAAGACTTAAATTATTAATAATAATTGTACTATATTTTTTAATGTTACTAATTAATTATGAATAAATACAAGTGAGTACATACCTCAAATAGTGTTTTATTTTCAACAATCCTATGTAGTTTCATCGCTAAGTCCATCCGTACTGTTGTTATATTATTATTCTTTATATACGACTCTTCACTGGGACCTGGAAAAATAAAGAATTACTTTATGAGCATGTTCTTGCTGAGAATTATAATTTAAGATAATCATTTTCTCAAAGAAATACGATTCATTTACATGAGATGAAAATTTTACAAACACGTTACAAGTGTCAGTAGGAGAGAGGTTGAAAAAATTTTCAAAAATATCCTTCCTTTTTTTCTTCATTACGTATAAAAATGGATCAGTAACCCTATCGGCATTATACTTGTAAGTATACGTTAGCGGGATACCAATGAGTGTTAATAGGCGAGAATAAATTCAGTTCAGTTGACTCATCATAGCTGGTACCTATACCAAAG